AACTGAAGATAATTTATACAACATAAAATGTTAAAATATATATTAGTAGACTAGTAATAAATGCAAAGTATTACATTTATATAAAAGTATTGGTAATTTGTTCATGATACCATGCATTACTAATGCATTAGTCATTGTTAACAAAAGTACATAATTGTCTGTTACCTAAGTAACTTAAAGAGATAAATACAGCTACAGCAAAATACACCAAGAGGCAGAGAAATGGGTTCATTTTGAAATGCATGCTGCACACTATTACGGTTATTATATAAATAAAAACACGAGATGACTGTAATACAGACATATAATCACTGCAATTCTGTAAATCAGTTATTTCCTATTCATTGTGAAGTCACAGTACACTATTTATGTGTATTTAACTGCAATATATATTGTAGAAGTACTATTGTAAAAAAGTATTGTACAAGTACAAGAACTAGTTTGAAATAAATACCCCAATTCATGTTTTAGTGTACTGTTACTGTAAACATATAACCGTGCAATCTAAACCTTGCAATAAAGGTGTAAATAAAAATAAAAGAGTGCACATTTCTAATAACTGGCTGAAGGAGTCATGCTGTATAATCAGTTAGCTGTCACGATGTTGGCAGCTAGTGTTTGTGGCAAACTGGACCTTCATTATCACAAGTATCAACGGAGGTGATATATCTAGAGCTAAACGAGGACTCTAGTTGACACACTGACACTAATGGCAATGAAAGCAGTTTCTTTAGTTGATGGGATGAAGGAAGAGCATGGGATGCTTGCTCACAAGCGCTCATAAGCTGATTGGACATAAGTGAAAGGTTGATTGGGTTCTTTCCAGTGCTTAGAAAAAAAGCCTTGCTAGTGCCAACAGGCAATGAAAAACTAGAAGTTCTGACATCCCTTTTAATGAAGAGCTTGGACAATCTTGTCCTAACCCACCTTAGAAGAACCAATCAGATAAAAGCATTCTGTCCCAGAACCATTTTGCCATGCACTTCATTCAGTGAGTAATCGAGCTGGCGTTCTGGATCAGCATGTTTAGGTGCTTAGAATCTGCTGAAATAGCATTGCTCCCTCAGCACAATGCAGAAAAGCAGAGATGGTCCTCACTGCAGAACACGAAATCCAAGGGGAGGAGTTGGATCCAGATCCAACTCCTCCAACCTTACATATACCTAAACCTACCCTGATCCCTAACCCCACCCCTAATCCTACCCATCTCCGCTCCCTGATCCCTAACCCCACCCCTAATCCAATCACTTATTTAAACACTTGTTTAAACAGAACACACACCGCTGCCTTCAATCGTAATGCAACTGACAGTTCTACAAATTAAGCTTTTAAATAAAAGAGCGCCTTGCAAACATGATACCCACCCACAGGAAGCCTAATAAGGCTAGCTACCTGGTCGTAGCTAAAATGTATGTCCCACAACGTAAAGGCCTGTTCACACCGGGACGAATTTCGCGCACATTATTTGCCGACGTTTAACGCCTCGTGACTAAACAACAGGGGACAATGTGAGTGTGCACACCGACACGTAAAACGCCACGCGTAAAAGCGTCATTTTAAAAAAACAAAAAAAACGTCTTGGGCTCATTTTTTTAGTTTGATGCGCTGCGTCAAAAACTATCCGACCAATGAGATGGTAAAACACAACTTGGGGACGCTCAAACACAATACGGTCTTGTCGAGCACACATATGCAACGGCGAAGAAGATATACGCCAAGTAGCGTCGCCGTCTACATAGCCAGGAAGAAGTAAGACGAGGAAGATTCAATCTTCAAGAGAAGAGATGAATTGCAAGATGAATGTAGAGCTGCTGTTCTCGTTGGTGCTAGAACATAAAGAACTAAAGTATATGACAAACGCGACAGGGACTACAAACATCTTGATAAAAGAAAACTGATATGGAGTGGTATTGCAGAGCAAATTGGTGCCATATAATGTCAGGGAATGAATTTGCATGTTCACTCAGCTCATCATCAGCGAAAATCGCTTGGGTGTGAACACAAAATGCATTGAAAAACACTGACGAATAACACGCGCTGATATTCGTCCCGGTGTGTACGGGCCTTGAGGACTCCCTTCTGGGGAGTCTACTCCCCGAACTACTAAGGCCAATCACCCGAGGTAAGCTGGCCTACAGTGCCCTCGTTGGGGCTGCCTAGTCAATGAGGTCTGCTGAGGCCTACTACCTACCGGCACAGCCAAAAAGTAGTGAAGGTTAGAACTTTCTTCTCAAATGGTGCAAGGTAGGATAATACAGAACTGAAGTTGAGTACTCAGACCTACCCTGTAATACTACCACCTCACCCTGAGATTTAACAGAGTGCGAGCCCGCCAGTGGCTCTAGAGGTGACAGAATTCCGCCCAGCTTAGGGGAGTGGGGCTTGCTTGTAAGCCACCCACCTACAACACAACGGTCGAGCAGTAGCTCCGCGAGGTTAGTGGAGCCTATTTTGGTGGCCCAAATACACATGCTAGTTCTGCATGGCGGGGTTTGGCAGACAAAACTCCGTCTCTTCGTGAGGCGAAAGAAGGTCAACCCTGCTCAAGAAAAACCCATTGTACCGGGGAGGCCTTATTGAGGCCTAACCCAGGGTCTTTATAAATCATGCCTCTGCACCAAGCTGGGGTGCATTTCCCGTACAACTATGTAACTCGCTGCTTCACTACCATAGCCGATGCTTTGTTGGAGAAATCAACAAGCTAGTCACGAGTGTTTGAAACCCATTGTCGCAAAGTATCGTTCAACCACGTTGGTTTCGCACATGGTGGAGTAATAACTACTTTAAATGAAACTGTTTGAGATCCAATTTTTTTGGATTTAGATTTTAGATTGGACGCTAGATTTTTTTTATATAAATTACAGAGATGTCATCTGAGGACTATTTCTAATTGTTCTCAGTTATTTTGCTTTATTACCAGACTCAATATTTGGCTCGTTCTTACATAGTAGAGCACATTCGCACATGTGCACTCTTCAAACACGGTACTTTAAATCTTTTGACAAACTAAGAGACATAATTACATTTGTGTGTATTCTAAATAAAAGGCACCGGTTGTACTGAATGTCAGCTTGCTTATTTTGCTCAAGATAAGGATTTATTGAGTCCACATGTCATGCAATATAGAAACTATGCCTCTAACCACAGGTCGAGAGCTGTCGTTCAAACCACACAACTTTGCGATGCTGTTTGCGAATGTTCGTTGGAACGATTGTTTCGGGAAACACAGACTCTTTGAACTATGCTGATAACGACGGAACTTACGACCATAGTTGGCTAACGATGCTTTCGGGAAAGGCACCCCTGCATTACACTTTTCGCCCCAGAATGTAGAGAAGGGGGCGGGCCTTGGCCTAACGACTCCCATGGGAGGAGGCTGTCAGATAGGGATGCTAAAAACCTACATTCACAAAGTGAAGGGCCAGAGGCAGAACGCCTCCACTATCCCAATCATAGCCTAGGCCAGCTATAGATGCTGCCTTGGTTATGGCTAGCCTGTGAGCATAGATCTACCTGTGGGTTCAGAGGAGCCATAGACTTTTTATATAGCATCAATCGATGCAGTGCGAGTTCTCTTTCCAAAGGGAACTAAAGCCGACTGTCAACTAGCATGCATGTTCTGCGCCTACGTGTAAATGAGACTGAAACTGTCTATTCCTGCAGATATATACATTTATATTCGTCAATCAAAAAGGGAAGCCGACACTGCCGGCTGCAGATACACAAACCATAAAAAAGTAGTCCATTTACTGTTTTGAATATCAATCCTGCTGATCACTATCTTCATTCTACTCCTCTCATGTTAATATTAAAGGGATAGTTCACTTTGAAATTAATTTTTGGTGTGTTTTATCTTACCTCAAGGGCATCCAAGATGTAGGAGTCTTGGTTTCCACAGTAGTTTCAATTTTGATATTTTTAGGCCAAACCGTTCTTGTCTGTCAGTCATTTAATGCAGGTCTGGACGGTTTGGCCTAAAAATATCAAAATTGAAAAAACTGTGGAAACAAAGACACCTACATCTTGGATGCCCTCGAGGTAAGCTAAAACATACCAACAATGAATTTCAAAGTGAACTATCCCTTTAAAATATTCACATATTTTAATACACACAAAAAAGTATTCTCATCGCTTGATAAACATAAGGTTGAGCCACTGTAGTCTAATTTAGGACTAGGGGACTGTAGGGGACTTTAGGACTGTAGGACTATTTTAACGATGTCTTTACTAACTTTCTGGGCCGGCAGATGCAATTACCAAACAGGAGGAGTGATCCAGCTCTCAGATTTAATAAAAATCGTATTTTAAATACTGTAAAATATATATAAAAAAATTATATAATATATAAAAAATATCGTAATTTGTGTTCAAAAAACGATAGTTTTACGAAGTTGTAACAACATGACGGTGAGTAATTACTGACAGAATTTTCATTTTGGGTGAACTATCCCTTTAAACTACAGAAATTACACACTTCTACACACACACTTTTAGGTACAATTTTTACATTTTAAATTGATGAATACCTATATGGACAAGCAATCTAGATATAAACTGTAATAGTGGGATTTAGTTTTTCTTTTTATGCACATTTTGCTTCTACATTCTATCTTTATTCTTTAAAAATTTGTACCAGCTATCAATTCTAATGACTTATGTTACTTGTCTCATCACCACTGTTTTTTTATCTTTCTTTCAACAAAAGAACATCATAACAGAACAATGCATTGATTTTTATTCTCTGTAGCTGTCCAGAGAAATGCAATAATATTGACTCAAATGTCTCTCCAGTGAAAGCTTGGTGGATGTGTGGATGCTCAGTGAAGCACTAATATTTAATCCCAGTTTATTCTGGTGTTCCAAGCCAGAAATGGCTGACTGGCTTGTTAAGGTTGTCACTGACTTTCCCTCCTCATTATTTCACAAAACCCTTTTGTGGACTAACAAGATTTTGGAATGGTGACAAAGAAGTTCAGATAATTGTTAAAATAAAGCCATACCTGAGTCAGAGCTGGCAGACGCCACTGGCATTTTCGTTTTCGTTTGTGTCTGTCTGCGTATCAAATTGGTCCAACTAAAGAGGGACAGAGAGAGTTTCTGCATGAAAATCAAATTCATCACATGGTCAGTCCAAGTATTTACCCCAAATCCCCCCTCTCAGCACAGAGCTAAAGAGTAACGTTAGTAACGTAATGTATTCCGATTACTTTTAGATTACTTTTGACCTAACATGATAATCTCATAGATTTTAATAAGATTATTCTCTACCTTGATGTAAAATACAAAGAGAAAAAAAATCCATTCTTTATCATCAGCAACATGAGGCCATAAATTACAGGGTTTCAAAACATAACTGCAATGAGTTTGTGAGATGATAAAAATGGAATGAATTTAATCATAAAATGTGAATTTAAAGAAAAAATAGATACTTTAAAAATAAAAACAATTTTTTTTTTTTTACCAGCATACCAGTGCGACCATTAAATTAGAGAACACATGAGCATGCACATGTGTTGTCAAGTTATTTAAATATTAACTTAAAATCTTTAAGTAAATGTTTTAGGTAAAATTTTAAATAATGTTAATAATATGTAATTATGCCATCCATAAAAAGTGACTAATCTGATAAACTAATCTCTTTTTTTATTCATCCAATTTACAGGTAAGCAAACAAACACTTTTCCAAGACTTTCTACATTTGATATAAACAGAAATCATTGCAACATTTAGGCATTTTTTTCTTTCCTGAGAAGGAATCACGTTACACTATCCTAGTGGGAAAATAAAAATGTGTGAAGACATGGGCAAATTTGACAACTCTTTCACGCTGCACACATGGATACACACACAGCTAAACGGCACTTTATTACGGGGAGTTTAAAGGCGCTATCTTACGGTGTGACACATCTACTACACACACACCATGTTAAAAATAGCTCTCACTGAAGCTGTAAACTCTGACTGTGCACCTCAGCAAGACTTTGCATAACCCAGCTGAATGTGCATGTGTGAGAGAGAGTGTCAGTGTGTGTGTATTACGCTCCAGTGCTCTTAAACATTCTCCTTAGCTTAATGTCAAAACCAAACTCTTAGCACAGAAACACAGAAGTGATTGAGCATGGAGAACTGCTAACATTGTAATACAGGATTTCTAAAGACTTAGCAGAGTGTAATTAATGATAACATATCAAAACATAAATTAAGAAGTTTCCCTTCTGTTCACAACAAGACAGCAAAATCAGTGTAACTACCCACATACAGTTAACAAAATGGAAGAATACTAAACATCTTATTTATTCAAAACCACTCATAATCCAATTTATGAATCCATTTAATCCTGCTTCAGTGACAGGAATAAATACTTTCAGAGTTTAAAGTATTTTCCTCATTTATATAGCGCTTTTAACAATGTAGATTGTTTCCAAGCAGCTTTATGCTTAACAGCTTTATATATATATATATATATATATATATATATATATATATATATAAAACTTATTGATCAGTATGCTTGCGTAAGAGTCATACTTTCAGGCTCTTTCATGTGCAAGTGTCTGTGTTTCATGTCAAGTGTGTGTTAACCCTATACCCTACATACAGTTAGGTTGATATACATGACTTAAAATGTGATATTGTAATAGCCATTGTGATATTGTAATAGCAATATATATATAATAGCAATTATAGCAATATTATCTTATTGTTTTAGCACAATTATGATGGCAAGCATTAAAAGATTTACCTCAGAACAAGCTATGGAACAATTACTGGAAAGTGACGCGGAGAAATCCGAAGCTAACAGCTTTTCCACAGATGATGAAATATTTTACTTTTGATTGAACAATTACAAATGTCTGTCAAGCAAAGGGTTTGAACAATATATTTTTTGTTCAAAAACTGTTCACTATTGATGTGTGAGGTGTGATTTTCAGTAATAAATGACAAAAATATATTTTTTTAAATTCTCTAGTTAATTGTACATTTATTGTACATGTTTCACTCATACTTCCTGTATAAACACATTACATGCTAGCTTAGGGTCTTCTGAATCCATAGATACCAAACACATGGTGTTCCATCTCCATTACAGATATAGTTTATAAAAATGGTTTATAAAAATGCCAAATGTAAAAATAGAAAAAACTGTCCAAAAAGGGCTTAGTCCCCAGAGGGTTAAGCTCAGTGTAAGAACACAAATGTAACAAACAAATGTTCAAAAAAGGAACAAATCCAAAAATAGCCCCTTTCCGCTCCCTCAAATTGGGCTTCTCATTACTTTACATGGGAGAATGGTTGTAACCAAGACAACCATAAGCTCCCCTCGCACACACAGCTTCTTTTTCTCCTTTGTACTGGTTCAACACGGAAATGACAGAGACTACATTAGATAGCAATTACAATCTACAAGTAGTGGTGTAGTACTTATGAGCAAAGGATGTGGGTATGTTCACAAATAAATAAGTTGCTAGTTACTATAAACTATTAAAAAAAACTATAAAATACTATAAAAACATAAAAAGCTATTGACAATTTAACACAACCTCAAATACGATTTATAAAATGGTTACTACTAAAATAAAATATTAAAGACACAAAACTTCTTAAAAAAATGTTGTTTATTAAAATAACTATGAAATCAAAATGTACTATTTTATTTTTTACATACAATAATTTAACTAACTATTACTACTACTATTATAATTTTTTAAGGAATATTTATTAATTTTTTTTTGTGCACATAATTATTATTTTTAATTAATGTGCTCTGATAAACTATAATCAAAATTACTTGTAAATTTATATTTTTTTTTAAAAATACTACAAAGCCCCTAAAGGGACGTTTGAAAAATAAAAATATACAAACTTTCACGTGCTCACAAGAAACTTCTGCATGCTCACGAGATATTTTTCTCAGGAACATATGAAAGTCTGTATATATTTATTTTTGCAAAGGTTCCTTTAGTAAAATACATCTCCTTGCAGCAACATCTCTTCTCTGATGAAATGTTTACTGGTGTGAGGGTGGGACAACCTGTCACTCATATGAGATCACACCAGCAAATGACAACGGTCCAACAATCGTTCATGCGATCCATTCCTGATGAACAAAATGAAGTACCGCCCAGCATTTTTTCTTCTTTTCTTAAAGAGGCCAGCCCGAACTCAAGGCATGACTCGCTGACTAAAAATCCCTGCAGGTCCCCCACCTTCTAAGGGGCTGTTTACACCTGGCCACTTCATGCGTTTTCTCAGATTGGATAGCTATCTGATTTATCAAAACTATTCCATTTACACCTGGTCACATAAATGTGTTTTTGCAAAACGGGTATAAATCCGATCTTCAATTCCCGCGCTATATGCGGATTTAATAAAGTGCACGTCACCGAAAGCAACAGATATGAGTTGCATTTTATTGATCATCGGCTAATTTCAAAATCAGCAAAGACTGTGATAAGAGAGAGCGGCAACAGAACTGGTAAAGATCATTTCGTTTCTTCACTTTTAATGAAGATGGTAGTGACTTACTTTCACTTTGATTTGCGGCGCGTTGGCTTGATAGGTGCTCAGCTGCTCATCTGAGGTGATGCGGGTCGCAGTAGTGTCGTCATATCTGACTAAAATAGCATGACATATAGCCTGTAACACACTCTCACGTGTTTATTTTTTTGCATTTTTGGGAGTAGTAGCATTTACATATGTAGTTTCAAGAACAAGATGCACACCTGTCCAGTTTCATCTGGAATGCGGCCCAGACCACCTCCTGAAGTGGTTTGAGCGATCAGATTCAAATCCGTCTCGAATGCGTTTCGGGGGCATTTACACCTGGTCTTTTCACGATCGGATAGCTATCCGATCACAGAAAACGCATGAAGTGGCCAGGTGTAAACGGCCCCTAAAAGGAAGCAAGCGCGATCAGGAGCACTGTCTTTAGAGACAGGACCTAAGCTCAATCGACTCCGGCGGCTTAAAGGGAGCATTCTGCAGACCGTAAAGGACCACAGAGAGATGACGATGAGAGGCAGACTGGGAGGATTTAGCCTTCTCGCGCCTCTCAGGAACCCGATGATCAGGTTGTGCTAACCCAGTGACTTGGGACGTGGGTGCCATATGGTGCCCCGTCCCTAAGAAAGCAAGTCCTTCCTCAAGGGAATCCGCCAGGGAGGGGCTGACGTAAAGACCATCAGGTTCCAAAACCAGGTACGTGTATTTGCATAAATGTGCCAAAGTGTCTGTACTGAGGGCTGCCTCATCAGTGAATAAAAGAGCGGGAGGTGGGAGGACTCCTGGAAGGCAAACAGGTCGGCCTGTGCGTCCCTAAATCGAATCCAGATCAGCTGGACCACCTGGGGATGGAGTCTCATTCTCCTGAAAGAGTGAGCCTTCGTGAAGGAACATCGGCCGCACAATTGAGCTCATCTAGAATGCAAATGGCAGCGAGCGACCTGAGCCACTGCTGACTCCAGATGAGATGGCGGGCAAGGTGTGACATGCGACGTGATTGTACCTCGCCTTGGTGGTTAATGTAAGTAACCATCAGCAATTGGTTTGCCACTAAATTCGAGGTTCCGTCCATTAGCCCCAAGCTGCATGCCCATTGCACATAGCATCTCAGCCTGTTCTGGAGGCATCTGTTGTAACAACAACATGCCTAGACACTTGTTATTGACCTTTATTTAACCCTGCAAGTCACTTAAGAACAAGTTCTTACAATTTGTAAGAACACCCTGACACCCCAACACCCTGACACTCCGGCCCATAGAAACAAGGTCAGGGAAATCTGCCAGGGAGGGACTGTCACAAGCATCAAGAGGCCCAAGGTCTGACCAAGGGCTGAATGTTCAGTGACAGATCGGTGTGGTCACAAAGTGTGCCGTGACACCATGCCCACACTCGTTGTTGAGACGTGCAGTCATATTGACCAAGTCCAACATAACATGCTCAGCACAGGGTAGAGCTTGCTCTTCTCCCAGTAGACCCAAAGCCACACTGGGTCCCCCACAAGAAAGACACGCAACATCATCTGGCAGCTTGGCGGCACATGGCACGCTAGAGGAGCAGAAGTATCCCACTGTAAACTTTAGGTCTCCCAGCGTGTTAACTATGCCAGAGCTAATTTGGAAGCAGGTATTGTTGATGAACCCCCATGCACAACAGCTTTTTATTGTGAATTTAATCACGACTGTAGTGCAGGATTTGAACAAAACCATAAAGGCCTGTTCACACCGGGACGAATTTCACGTGCGTTATTCGCCGACGTTTAACGCCTCGTGACTAAACAAAGGGCGCCAATGTGAGTGCTCACAACGACGCGTAAAACGTCATTTAAAAAAACGCCTCAACTTCGTTTTTTTAGTTTGAAGCGCTGCGTCAAAAACTATCCGACCAATGAGATTGCCGCTTTTTCTCAAGTGTTTGGGGCTTCTGAAGTTACCGTAAAACACAACTTGGGGGCACTCAAACACAAAACGGTCTTGCCGAGCACACATATTCAACGGCGAAGAAGATATAAGCCAGGTAGCGTCGCCGTCTACACAGCCACGAAAAATAAGACGTGGAAGATGCAAGGCAAGATGAATGTAGAGCTGCTGTTCTTGTTGGTGAACATAACTATATCACAAACGTGACAGGGACTACAAACATCTTGATAAAAGAAAACTGATATGGAGTGGTATTGCAGAGCAAATTGGCGCCATCTAATGTCAGGGAATGAATTTACATGTTCACTCAGCTCATCGTCAGTGAAAATGGCTTGGGTGGGACTGTGAACACAGAAAACGCGTTGAAAAACGCTGACGAATAACGCGCGCTGATATTCATCCCGGTGTGTACGGGCCTTAAAGGGTTAGTTCACCCAAAAATGAAAATTAAGTCATTAATTACTCACCCTCATGCTGTACCAACCCCGTAAGACCTTCGTTTGTCTTCGGAACACAAATGAAGATATTTTTGATTAAATTTGAGAGCTGTATAACTACCACATTGGCTGCCTAAGGGACTGCCTCTTGACGGCCCAGAAAGTCAATGAAGAAAATGTTTAAATATCCCAAGTGACTACCGTGGCTCAACTATATGTTTATCAAGCGACGCGAATACTTTTTGTGCGAAAAAATAAACAAAAATAACGAGTTTATTCGACTATTTCTTTTCTTCCTTGTAGGCCAGTAAGACTAAGACTACGTTCAATCTGCAGGTACATGTTTTTTGCTCACTTGTGACTCAGATCTGTTCTCATGAAAGTGTAAACTGCACAAACCACAATGAATCGGATCTTTGTAATTTTGATTTGTACCACTTCCATGTGTGGTCCGAAATCTGATACAGGTCAGATGTTTTGCAACGCAACCTCAGTCTGAACAGTCATATCGGAATTAATGTGGCTTTAATGTGGAAATTATGAAGACAGTTGCGAAAGTTAGTCAATGGAAGGACTGGGATGTGTCAAAGCTTATAAGTATTACAGTGACAGCTCTATGCAAGAAAAATACGAGGGCTCGTATCATAAACATTTAAAAAGCTCTTTTTTTATATTGTCTGCACATAAATTTGCTAGCTTCGGAGGAAGATCACACTATAAATAAACACGCAATCACTTGATGTGTGACGTCATTTTTGTGACAAAACAAAGTAAACAGCTGTACAAAAAAATCGGATCTGAGCAATAAATCGGAATTCAGCAGCACTAAGCTTCATGTTTTGCCTGACTTTATTGACTTATACTGAAGAAGGGATTTCAAATATCTAGAGACCAGAATACCCTTGGCCCTGTTTCCACCTGACACATTTGGAACATGTTAATAACAGGTGCAAACAGCAAGGAGTCACGGCCATCCACTTGTGAGTTCGCACAAACAAACCACTCACAGTTTCCTCAGCAAAAATATTTTTTTACTAGATATCAGTGCTTCTGAACTACGCAAATACAGCCGTTTTAAACACTCACACTTACACACATAAGCTCAATTACCAAAGGCAGTGAGGGCAGCAGATGACAGTGGGAGGTCAGCACTAACAGTACTGTATAGCATTAACTCTCCGGCTGCGCAGCTGCAGCAACGGTTGCCTGGCAACACATGAAATCCCAAGAGCCTCTACTGTAGGGTATTTGAATGGAGCAAAAGAGCTGGAAAATTGGAGAGTAAATCTTGAGCTGTTCTGTGTTTAGGCATGTCATTTAGAAATGTTAATTGATTATCTTTATTATGAGATTAGGATGTACATTATTCAAGTAACTGGCTGGCTGGTTTCAAGTTTCAGGACAATCTGTGGTCAGCTTGTCTTTGTGTGTCTACACACTGATCATTTAATAAGCACATTTGCCTCTTTGGCAGCTGTTGTGTCACCTGGTGTACAATAATGAGCCAAACAAGTGCCTGAAAATGGCACGTTGGTGTCTCACGGTATATATTATTCAGTCGAGGACATGTAAATTAAGCTACCTTATGGCCAATAACAATATTAAAATCAAAACAAAATCAATCAAATATGTTAGAGACCTTCTAAGTCATATACCCCGTCTTGCAGCGTCACTTGTTTTGTTTTTTTTCAGTGCACTGACTACATCACCGGTTTTCATGGAAACCGTCCCTGGCGCTGCACACGTGGGTAAAGCTGTCACACACAGAGTGGAACAGAAGCAGAGAGGTCATGTCATGTTTACGAATGAGACTAAGAAAAGAATGTAGGAGTTGGAGAGGTGTCGCCTTTCCCACACAAGCCAGCAAACTCATGAGAAAAGAACAGACCAAAAAAACTTCAATAATAATAGAAATATGGTAATAGGAATTTAAAAATAAAAAATAACATTATAATTACAAAATAGCCCAAATAACCTTGACAGATGTCTCACAACCATAATAAGAAGGAAGAATATATATATATATATATATATATATATATATATATATATATATATATATATATATATATAATACAAATTATTTGTTTGAAATTAATAATATTAATAATAATTACTATATTTACAGAGGGGAAATAAACTCTGGCCTGAGCATCATGCAGATGTTGTTTTCGCTCATATACATGTAAGTATATCCATTATAATCAGAATAATTATAATCTTTTCCTTGTGATTTATTGAGTGGAACAACTAAAATATCTAATAAAAGCATTGTGATAAAATGAATCTAGCAAAGTCTTCATCATGGATGACGTCATTGTAAATTAGGCAATCCGAACTGTTAATTAACTGTAATAAAAAAATGATGACGGTCTATTAAAAAAACGCATGGTTTTCATTTTAAATACAGCCTGAACACATTTAGTTATGTAGTATGGTACAGTGCTGCCATCAGATGTAAAACATGGTGCGATATGTTCAATGACTAATTTCCATTATCCCGTGTTATTTTACATGATAGCCTCTCCAAAGAATCCCATATTCCCATTAAACCAGATGCCCAGAATAAGGCAATGTAATACCATTGTATTGTTTGCGTGAGTATCTTGGATAAACACTGACATTAGTGAAAAATACTCAAGTTCAGATCAAACTTGTTTATCGCGTCGCGTCCGTCGCTCGCTGGGCAGAAATGAGCTGAATTTCACTAGCACTATCTGTCATGAACGCCTTTGACTCACCTGTGATGTCAAACGTGAGGTGAAATAAACCAGCAGTGCACGTCTTTCACTTTTTGCAGACGGCGGTCATGATGTTGGTCGCCGAATTAACGCGTACAATCCATCGGCTTTCGAATCATTAAGAATTTCGCGTCTTATTTACCTCACACATACACCTGATAACACAGCAACCAGTGAGTCTCACGGACAGCAATATTATCACACGACGCGAACACTTTAAACTAGATTATCTGCTCAGTCAAGCTCTTGTCACCTGATTACTAAACGAAGATTTAAACAATCTGTGTAACTGCTTTACATCACGTATCTGACCGGCGGCGATGCGCTTTTGTTTTATTGAGATGCTGTGCGTCTTAAAGGGGCAACACACTCCACGCCTCTCTGCGGAGCTACATCACCCCCCTCGACATCGAATTAAATCACTTTACAGTTTTAAGAACAATTCACCTAATACCGCAGCCTCTGTGTCTATTAAATTATTTATAGTTTCTATTAATTAAAACTATCGACTAGCCTACCGAATAGCCTACACTAAAGACTACCATCAGTTTGCTGGTTGTTTCTTCAAAGTATCCTGAAAATATACTGAATCAGGCACTTTAAAATAAAAAAAGTGGTATTACCATGCTACATGTCCAAAAATATGGTAATAATATGGACTATTCATGGTATTTCATTCTTACTTTTAAGGCAAATATAAATAATTAAATTGATTAATACCAATATTTTTATTTCAGGTTTTTTTTACATAGCCTACCATGTGTCCCGTACGTTTGTGTTCAATGTGAATATTTGTGGTATTTGTTATTTACCTTAAATAATAAAAAAACAAAACTTCTAAACATGAAACAATGATACTGGCAAATGTTCAAAACAGAAATATTGTTGAGCTCCTCCATCTAGTGGTGTGCAGATGTCCTATTTCAGACACTGTATTTGTTTAAGAAAAGGTCAATGAATAAATTCGTGTAAATGCATGAATAAAGTTAGGAATCAAACTTTTAACATTCAGTTATTTTTTATTATTGTCAATTTTGTCAGTGAATAATAAATTATTTACAATTGTCTTTCACAAAGCGTAAATTAAATCATAGAAAGAGAAAAGAAAAAGAGGCTGATAGACATGTACAGATCATGAGGTGTTTTTGGAGCCTCGTTTTGATGAGAGTTTGGCTCATGCTGGTTTCTGCTTTGTTATTTATTATCATAGAGATCATGGATGGATGAAGAAAACCACGGCACCAGCCACAGAGGACGAGAGAGAAGGCGCATCACCATAACAAGTCTTCCATGCTGCACAAAAACAAAATCCTTCATTTTCACATCTCCACAACTGGTTTGTCTGAATATCTCTGTGACTGTGATTAAATATAACATGCAGTAATAACCAAGACAGCAACATAGTGTCTGCCCAGATCCAGCCCACATTTGGCACGCTTAGAAAATACATGTGGGCCGGATCTGGGCCGACACTTATGTCGCTGAAGCATATATGACAAAGCCCTCACTGCTCACCGGGGCCGGACGTCCCGTTCGTCTTCACCAAACAGCAGTTCGACCACAGCGTCCTCAGGGGTGGAGCGCTTCCCGTATCTGAAGAATGAAAAGCAAGATGTAAGAGAATGAATTAGGATTTGAGCTCTCATTCAAGTCTGAAGCACAAGTTACACTGTGATAAACTGTATGATGAATAAGTTGAAAAAATAACCCTGTAAAAAACCGGTAAACTACTGGCAACTGTGGTTGCCAGAATCATACCGTAACTATACAGTGTGTTACCGTTTTTGTGTTAGAGCATATATAGCTGTTAAATGAAAGTTTAATACTGTAGCTGACAATTTAGCTGTTCATTTAAAAAAAAAGTAACACACCGTATTTTTACAGTATGATGCTGGCAACCACAGCTGCCAGTAGTTTACCGTTTTTTTTCCAGGATTATTTTTCCAAATAAGTTAAGCAATTTTCAAATTTTAAAGTTACATTAGATTCGACTAAGTCAGTGTAATGCAATTTAAGTTGAAATGATTTAAACATCCAAGTTGATTGTACTTAAAAAAAATTATGGCAGCAACTTTTGTCTACAGTGTATGTGCAATTGTGTTCAAATTCCAATAACCTAATAATTGTGAGCAACAACAGAGATGAACAAACAAGCACCAAAAAGGATTACAATCCAACTTTCTGATTTAACTGAAGATAAATGATCAATTCAGAGAAATAAGGAAATCAACAAGAAACAGAACCAAAATAACACATGAACGTCATTTAATTGTGGCCTTTTAAGGTTATTCGCGTTGCAGAAAATATCAGGGTAGACCTCTAGCATGCATCATCAGAGACGTTACCAGACATGTTAATCCCACTTAATAACAATCTATCTTAGCGCAAAGCACAATAATGAGGGGTTTCGTTCAGGTTGAATGATATCTGGCAACTCAGCCCACCCCTCGCACATATGTGAGTGTTCAGATAAAAACATAGCAACGCACAATTTAGTAAAACCATGAACACACACACAAAAAAAAGAGGTTTTGTTTAAACTGTAAAATAGATTTGGTTTACTCTCCTATGAACCCTCTTGCATTGCTAAGTGGGTCTGGATTCAAATCAATTCAATTCATTTGTTTAGTTCTTTCCTTGGAGATATAAATATAATTTCATCACTTTAATAAAATATTTTCATGATTTATAATCACAACTTTTTTTATCTTTTGTAAAATCAACTTAAATAATTTATATAGTTCAGCTAACATATTTATGAGTTTCTGATGATTAAATCAATTTCCTTCATTGTATTAACTCAATTTTCTATTTCAATGAACTTAAAATTTGAAGGCAGCCAGGTTACTTGATTTTTTAAGTTGAACCAACAATATTTTTTTTCAGTGATCAAGTTAAACTATAGAAAATGAGAATGACTACTGAATCAATATAAAAAAACGTTTTTGTAAAGAAAATGTGTTTTTTTATGGTTTTAGTTTTTAGCTTAGAAATTCTGGTAAATTATAATATTTTTTTCTTTTCTTTTTCTTTTTTTTACTGTGGCAGAAATATGAAAACAATATTTAGGGCTTTATATCAATGTAATATATTCTCAATATTTAATACCATAACTGTACCTGTATATACTGTTTGTAAAATTGAATAAAGGCTTGAGTAACCCATTGACTGGAAAATGCTGTGGTGTGAAAAAATACACAGTAAATGACATCATTATGATGAGAGCAAGGATTCCATTAATGTAGGCATCATCTCCATTATCATCTGAAAATCTTTGTTGGGCCATTAGCTGTTTTTTCCACAGAGTCATATTTCAAGAATCCTCTGATCTTACTCAGCTTGGGTTGCATCCGTACATCATGAACAACGAACGGAAAAATCAAATCTGTATAAATTGTTTGTAAAATAATTCTTAAACATTGTTGCATTCAGTCCAGTGTTTCCATTTAGATGCATTTCAAACAATTTAAACAGAATTTTCACGAATTACAGCTGTCTCTAAGACAATAGACGTTGCAATTGTAACACTTAAATTTCCAATAATAAGAAAAGAACAAACATTAATGTTCATTTATAAATATAGGCCCATTGTTCAATGTTAAACGATGTTCATTCATTCACTAATGTTAATTTCAAATGTACATTTTAGTATATGCAGACTTTAGAATAAAATCAGTTAATGATGACTAATGTAATAATCATGTTAAATAAAACACTGTTACCAAATGTTTCAAATATATGAAATAAAATGTTTCATTTAGTTGTAAAATTCTGCAAATATCATGTTCTGACCATTATTAAGGAAAGTTATTATTAACTGTTACTAATAACCAATCAGTGCTAATATTAGCACCTAATCCTGATTCATCTGTTTAAATCTGCACATTTAACATAGTTAATATTAACTAACAATCAGCAAAACATGATTGCAGTAGGCTATTTATTAATATTTCTTAACATTTGTTAACAAAACGTTCATGTTAATTTAGCTCCATTAAGTAATATTAACAGACAACGTTTGATTTGAATAATTTATTAGTAAATGTAGAAAACTGAGATTATGTATTTATCAGTATAACGATAAGCAGGTGATGCACAGGTAACGGTAGCCGTACCTCTGTCGCGTGATGAGGTTGATGTAGTGTCTTAGAGCCGTGTGGTACTTGGCCATCTCCTCTGGACCCACATCTCCCGCTGGAGGTTCAGGTTTGGGCGGGTAAGCTTCGGCCAGGCTGCTGAGACACGCGATGACACACAGCACAAGAGCCAGCGGCACAGTCCAGGATCTCAGCGCTCTTGCCATCTGATGGACAGAGAGAAAACCTTTGGGAGTCCAGAGCAATTCCACAGAACATTTAAACATTTCTAGTCGATTTTCAACTCTTTGTCAAGATGTATTTTGTCACAGAGCTATCCATGGTCCTGATTCTGTTGCCGCTATCTCAAAGTTATCATCGACTGAAGAGTCAAAGAAGCAAAATGATACTTACTCTGCAATAGATGTTCAGGCCTAGAAGGGTTGTGTAGAGCTGATGTTGATTGTTGGCGTTGATCTGCTCCTCTCTCACCAGACCATGATGCCTTTATAGCTCAAGAGACCCCAGAGGGAGGTCCAAACCCCACCCAGCACTTACACACAACCAGTGTTAATAATGAACTAATGAGTCATTGGCTCAGGCCATCCAACCCTGTGATCTCAATATCTATGAGAACATTAACAGCTGGATAATACTAGAGATAACTTACATTTTGGTTCTGATATTATAACTTCTCAGCCGTATATTTAATATAGCTTGTTTCCGCCACAGAATGAAAAAGGTAATTGAGACTTTTCATCTCACAATTCTGACTTTCTCGCAGTTGCGACTTGTGAGAAATAAACTTGCAATTGCGAGTTATAATGTCTGAAATGCGAGATAAATTGCAAGAAAAAAAAGTCGCTTTTTATTCCATGGGGGAGCAAGCTTCCATAATTTCATGCTGTTACAAGAGCAATTAAGTATATATTGTGAATATTAAAATGTGTTAAGCACAATGTTCACAATACAGCACGGCCTCAGGTGCCTTATTGTCATTGTTGCTGCATAACAAAAATATAAAAGGCATAGATTTTTATTAAAAAGCTATTTTATTAAGAAAAATCATTTGGCATTCTCTCACCGGAATACATATTCCCTCCCTGACATGAAAACCAAGGATAATAGTTGCGTCGATGGGTTCTGCGCAGTTATGTATTTCGAAAGCCAAAGGAATACTTAACTTCAGAAGGAAAATTCTATCATCATTTCCTCACCCTCAAGTTGTTTCAAACCTGTATGATTTTTTTCTTCTTCTGCTGGACACAAAA